GGACGTAGAGGGGCGCTCTCAGGAGCCCCCCCCCCCCACCCCCCGATTACACTACCGCAGAGGCGCAGCGTAAGGCCCCTGGCTCCTTAAAACTAACAGGCGCTATCGTGCTCATAGGATAACCCAGCGTGCCAAATAGCATCCTGTAAACAATGATGCCAATTTCGTCATTCGCTAAAGTGAAACAAATGAACAGGATTTTTTTCTTTAACACATACAAAAATTATTTGACGTGTTTTAAACATCAGTTCGACTGATGCAATATGCTAGCGTTACTAATGGTCTATTATTAGATGCTCGGTCTCAATTTCGGCCTGGATCGTCTAATAATAGATGCTTATTGCATCATTCGCAAAGTGAAGAAACTCTACAGTAGGTTCATCATATTCAAACAGTTATTTTTTCATCTTTCGCAAGGTGACGAAACTGTACAGGATTTCCTCGCGTTACAAAATTATTTTTAGAAGCCTGTTGTAGTTTTACCGCTGAATATAGTAGAACCCCTTACTCGCTATACAGGACGCTCGATTAACAGATGCCAAGTGCCAACTTAGTCGCTCTAAAACTCTGGGCGCCAAACCATGTATTGACGAAAGTTGTACCCTATATGGCGCCGCCCGTAAGAAACTTTAGTTTTCTTTTTCGCAGAAATATTCTCGGGAGTATTCTCATCTACTTCCTAAAGTTTCATGGTACTCGGATGAACCGCATCCGAGTTTTGTTTTTTATATACCGTATATAGAGAAAAAAATCGCTCCCCCCCCCGGTGGTGCGCCGCCCTTGCAATATTAAACAATATTTTTTACATAACCCTACCATTGAGTGATCTAATCATCTCCCCAAAGTCTCATGCCTATCGGATAAACGGTGTCACTGCAATTCACTTTTATTCTTTTTATATACCGTAAATAGAGAAAAATCGGACCCTCCCGTGGCGCCGCCCTTGCAAAATTAAAAATTATTTTTTTACAGAACCCTTCCCTAGAGTGGTATAACGAATTCCCCAAAGTCTCATGGCTATCGGATGAACAGTGGGAAATCAAAATAGACTTTTACTTTTATATACCGTATATAGAGAAAAACAAATCGCGCCCTGCCGGGGCGCCACCCCTGCGAATTTGTGTCCGTTCAAAACACTAGTTTTAATGCCCCAAAATTCCCCAAAGTTAAGTGTTTTGAACGGACACAAATTTTGAAAATTCATAAAAAATTAGTTTGAAGATATGCACTTAAAATTTTTAGCTGATTACCCCAAAATATGGAAGAATATTATGAATTGATTGTTTATTGGGCTTAAAGTGTAATATTTTATGAATGGTGGAAAACCTACGAAGGGGTTAATTTTTCAAGATGGCCGCCATTGTCATAGTTACCAAGATTTTTCCACCAATTTTTTTTAGTGGAAATGCATAAGCGGATGTATCTTAATAAAGCTGTAAAGAAATAACTGTTTTCTAACGAGTATTAAAAAAGTTTTTTTTTACCGGAGCCTTCCCCCTTAATTCTTTATTGATTTTTAATTAAAATAAATGACAGAAACATTCAAATTTTTTATTGTACTATAGTCTCAATCAATCAATATTATCATTTGTTACAACAAGTTGAACTTTTATGGCATTTAGAATTACATAGCAGCTTGTTATTTTTACACTTGCAGCGATTTGTTGTGCACTTAGTTGTGCAATTGCAGCGAGTGTAGCCTTGGCCCCCAGTCAATGATTGTGAAGATGCGATGGTTCGTAGTGATTTTTCCTCAGTGCCAAATGATGACAATAAGAGCAGTTTTCGTGAAGAATTTGAAAACTCACTTCTAGCATACATTTGTTTTAGAACACCATGTTCCGTTCCTAATTTGTAGAAACCGCCCTCGACGCTCATGACAACTGCAATCCTGCTACGGGGATCACCGCGACCTCTGTCAACATCTGGAACACGGATGCGTACATTGTCACCCACTTCACCATCTTTAAATTTTGTATTTGATGTTTTAAGCATCTTAGCACCTTGAGTTTGCAAGCCAGTATGAGGTGCTGACCTGTGTTCCATGATGTCTTGTTTGTTGTGAGACAATCTTCAGGTAATGTTCCCTCCGTACCCTTCGTCTGCTTCATTGGGTATTCCACAAATAGCATGGACATCATTGCCACAGGATCCACAAGAATGAGCTGCACTACAATGTTTTTCACAAACTATACAGAATCTGTTGGCCACATTATTGTCACGTAACTGGTCTGGACGTTCCGCCACGGCAGCAGATGTGTTAGCTGAGGATGTCGTTGCATTTATGGCAACCTCCATTCCTTGTTCAATGTTCTCAAGATCTTCCCCAGTAACTATTTTATCGAGAGCCTCTCTTGGTAGATTTGAAGTTCTTAGTCCCACTTTGCTTTGCATCCAAACAAGTTTTCGTATGGCGATTGTTGGATTCCTTGATGAAAAAAACGATTTTTCATAAATTGAATGAATTTGAGACTCTCAACTCAATGAGCTGATTCATTTGTTTGCATCCATGTCATCATCATATTTTGAACATCTTGGTTGGCACGTTCGACTGAACCTTAGCTTTGGCTATACCTTGGTTTTCCGTGAACTAGTTAAGTTCAGGCCACATGTTCATTATTTCAGAAATAACTTGATTCACAAATTCTCTTCCATTATCTGATTGAAGCACACTTGGGGCATCAATAGTCGTGAAGATATTTATCATGCAGTCCAGTCAAGGCGCGGTGATGGGTCTGCTTTATTTGGTATTCCCCTTTTGTTGTGGAAATATGGTTTCTGACGTCCACGCCATCTCAAGTCGCTTGGACACTATTATTCAACTAACAAGGAACGCGGCAAAGTCTTTTGAACGTTCCGTCTTGTTGCATGTGGTCGGTGACGCCGACTGTCTTTGATTTTGTTCTTTGATGATTGTCTCACCTCGTCATCATGGAGGAGGCTGTCACATACAGTTGTAGCCCATATATGGAAACTAACATGGATTCACATTTTTTTTCTTTTGACAGCCATCTCCTATGTCTGTCTCATGGTCTGACGGCCCTTTTGATCCATGTCGCCTTGCATATAGAATGCTATACAAACAAGAGCTAAACAATTCGTTACTCACAATGAAACCGCACCCAGAATAATGAAAACGCAATCAAAACTTAGTCTAGGTAGAACATTGGCCAGGACATCCCGGCCAGTGCGCGCAATGGCCGGCCAATGTACAAAATACGCTGTCAAGTTTAAGCGCTTCGGACTTTGACCAGTACGTCCCGGCCAGTGCGCGCATTGGCCGGCCAATGTACGAAATACGATCTTAGTGCTAAGTTCTTCGGGCTTTGGCCAAGAGAGCCGGCCAATGCGCACTTTGGCCGCACTTCGGGCTTTAACCGTAATATATATATATATATATATATATATATATATATATATATATATATATATATATATATATATATATATATATATATATATATATATAAGCGGGGGGGGGGGAACGCCAAATTGAAAGTTTGCCCCGGGCGCCGGGAAGGGTCGCTACGCCTCTGAAGGTAGGTAGGTAGGTAGTTAGGTAGTTAGGTAGGTAGGTAGGTAGGTAGGTATGTAGGTAGGTAGGTAGGTAGGTAGGTAGGTAGGTAGGTAGGTAGGTAGGTAGGTAGGTAGGTAGGTAGGTAGGCAGGTAGGTGCGTCATGATGAAATAAGATTAAATACATCATTATGATGTGTGATTTTTAAGGGTATTTTGGTGCTAATGATTGTTGGTGCGAGAGATATAACGAAGGCATGTTTGATGACGCGGATGGTTTGGAGTTTGGACTAGGTAGAATGTAAGAGATACTCCGTATAAAGACAATTTCAAGTATAGCTTTATGTTTATTTCAGAATAGTAGTTGAATAAATATTGAACAAGAAAATTATAGGCATTGTGTCAAGCAATTATAGCCTGTATCGTTGTTGTATGAATGCTCATTATAGTGATATTCTTTAAATGGCAGTAGACTAGTAGATCGCGTGAGGTCAAACACGACCCTCTCAAAGCAGCCCTAACCATCGTGTATAAATGTGTCATCTAGTCCTTATAGGTCTTTGTGCTAAAATTTCTCTTTGCGCGTTTTTCTGTTTGCGCATTTTTCTGTTTGTGCTTTTTTCTGGTTGCACCTTTTACTTTTTAAATTAATCTAGACTAGATTCTAGAACTTTGACCTAGTTTTAAAGCCCACCAAAAATGGAAACAAAACAGTTTGGTCCTCGAAAATCTAACTGGAAATAGGCTAAAACAAATACTCTTTATTTATTATTCTTTCAAATGGTAAAATGTAACAGAATAGCTTACCATAATTTATCTAATATCCTTACCTATAAATACTTTGATTGCTGTGGTGTAAAGTTGTGCGATTGCACCGAACGACTGCGTTGCTGATTAAAAGTATTCTGCGGAAATCGCGATATTCGTTTTGCGCCGATACTTTTAGCTCTAGAAATAATAGCCAGTTTGTTCAGATGATTATATCTCGATAATTCTTCACCAGATTTCTATTATATTTTCACGCATTATGGGGTATCATACTGGCTTATGATATAAGTAAAATAAAGAAATATATACATAGAGGTGGCGGAGGGTGGGAAACTAATTATGTTACTGAGAGATTTTTTAGTTAATTTAGGAAAATATTTTTCTGTGTGCGCTAATTTCTGTTTTCGCTTTTTTTCTGTTAGCGCTTTTTTCTGTTTGTGCTTTTTTTCTGATTGCGCATTTTTTGGTTTGTATTTTTTTCTCTGAGTGTGCTTTGTTCTGGTTGCGCATTTTTCTGTTTGCGTTTTTTCTGTGTGCGCATCTTTCTGGTCAGTTTTTTAAACATATGTTAACGTTTCCAAATGTATTGCGTCCTGCGGACATCTCCCAATCTACCGCCACGTCCTCAATGGTGATAACGGCTCTCGGCAAACACGGTACCAAAACAGCAACACTCCTCTTCTTTGCGCAGGTTGGACAACATTTAGTGGGCCTATTTCTGATCAATACAATTTTAATACTGAGTTTAGTAAGAAATTTATTTAAAACAAATCAAACTTCAGTATCGTAGTAAAGACCAAGGTAAATAGAAATACGAAAATATTTTTAGAAAGATGCAATATAGTATTTACACTTTGAATAAAAGAAATGATGAGGTAAGAAGTTGTGTTTTCTTCCTAGTCTGAGAGGACATTTTATTCATGTTAGAGCTCTATTTGCAATGTGTGTGAAATCCATATTTTATAGGTAACAGAGCAAAAACACCACTAGGTGTAGCCCTGATAGTTCAATTTGATACACAATGTTTTGAAATATAAAATAATATAGGGCATACACAGTTTACGATTAGCCTTGGAAAGATTTTTAATTTGTAAACTATTAAAATCCGATTGACGTAAATTATTATTGCAAGAAAATATTCTAATAACCAAACTATAAATAAAATAATAAATATACGGCCAATCATGGTCAAGCGGGAAGGCTCATGGCTTCTAAACCCGCGTTCGAATGTTTTTTTCTTTTAGGCAACTTCTGTAATAGAAGCTAATGCCACATTTATACTTAGCACTTTTTTGAACTAAACTGGTGAAGGATGATAGATAGATAACGACATAATGCAACGTACCCTTTGCGTTTTTATTCTTGAGTGTATCCACACAGAGGCGTAGCGAGAGGGGGACATGTCCCCGGGCGCTGACCTTAGGGGGGGGGGGGGCGCCAAATTGAAAGTTTGAGGGGGGGGTGCAAATGAAAAGTTCGAGGGGGTGTGCAAATTGAAAGTTTGAGGGGGGGGGGGGTGCAAATGAAAAGTTCGAGGGGAGGGTGCAAAACTAACGGGAAGGGTCGCTAAGCCTCTGCATCCACAGTCTTCCGACGCTAAATTAAATCATACTGGTATTAACAAATTAAATGTAGGCTACCTGACATGGAGAAGTAAATTTCCCCCTACTTAAACAATTCATTAAGGGGCATATTCTCATAAAAATCTCCAAAATCCTGATTTTCGTCATAATGGGTTTCTTGCACTTCTGGATACTTTGTCCATTTTAGAAAAAAGATTGAGTGTGTTTAAAATACCATTTTTATGACACTATTAATAAAAAAATTATAATTTTTTAAACTAGCTCTCTACGAAAAGCTTTATATCCGTAATCATTTGGCATTATTGGAAAACTGGATTTATCATGTATTTGATATTCGTATTTTCAATCATCTCGGAAACACCCAAAGCTTATAATTGGCTTTACAACACACATATATGGGGTCGTCCATAAATGACGTCACACTCGTAGGGGGATCGAGGGGGTCCGTAATTTTGTGACGGTGTGTGATGAGGGGGATAGGGGTTTAAGATGTTGCGACGTCACACTATTGCATTATAAAAAAGCAACGATAGAAAACGAATTTTAGACGTTATTTCGCGTTTTAGAAAACTGTTTTGATAAATTGTAATAAGTAATAGGAATTGATTAAAAATACTCTATTTTGACAGAGTTCAGACAAGGTTTTGGAAAAATATCGATGTTTAAAAAAAAATTCAACTGCAGTTTTGAGGGGGGGGGGGGGAGTTGTAAGCTGGGGTGTGACGTCATTTTAGGGGGGTCTGGCTTTTTGTGACGATGTGTGACGGAGGGGAGGTAAAAACCGTCAAAAAAAGCATTACGTCATTTATGGATGACCCCAATGGTTATTTTCGTGACCTTCTTTTCGTTACTTTTGCTGTTTTTCTCAGTTCGCATTTTTTAAACACTAAATTCCTACTACTTTTTTTTATTTATGCCCACCGTATTTTCAGAAATTGTTCTATATGCAAAAAAATAAATAAAATAACTCATCACATGGGAATAATCTTTTCTCAAAGACCTATTGGCAATTTAATATCATACTCTATTAAAGCATATTCTAAGAATGTTTCAGTTCCATGTGTCATCTCAACAAAAACAAAACAAAATAAAACGAGTGGTTTTGTCACGTCAGTTTCCTCCCTTTCGTCATCGGTATAGCCACTCTGTGTCTTTGTTTTTTTTACAAGCTTTTATTACATTCACTTCCTCTGTCTGTCTGTCTGTCTGTCTAGATCGAAACGCCCGTGTGAAATTGCAGGCACTTTTAACTGACAGGTACGGTTCGTAGTTGGTACGTGGGTCAAGACATGAAGACAATGCATCGTGACATTCAATTTGACTTAATTGGTCGCCTAATTATTTTTTTTAATGAATTAATTAAAATTTGGACCGAATTAGTAGGCAGTTCTATCCACACGCGTCATCACGGCCGTGTTGGGCGTGGAGCGAGGGGGGCTTTACGTCAAAAGCGCGTCATCACGTTCAGTAGGCGCGAGATGGTTTTTAGTCGGGTCAGCAGTCTAGTTCTTGACCACTAGACTACACTATCCCATAATACTTTACTGATACTTAAGCTATAAACTTAGACAATGGTTTTTAGTCATGTAACTATTGAAAATAAAACATGTAAAGTACTGGAAAAAAATAATCATAAAAACGTTTTAATAACAAGCTTTTATGTGATAATGCACTAAAAAGTAGAAAATATATTAGATCTATACACTATTATTTAAATAACTATAAAGAACAGCGTGGGTCTCTTGTCAAATATTTGTAAAGGTATCCAATACATTTTCTTTTCTTTCTTGGAATACTTGCGTATTCTCGCTAGCATTTGTTTACTGATTGTTAAACTATTTTTTCATTTAACACACACACCCACGCGCACGTCCACCAGAGTTTCTTCCAGGCATCTTTTCGAGGTGTTTGCACCCGCCCCCCCCCCCCCCCCCCGAAGAAAGTCTACCGCCCCCCCCCCCCGAACAAAATGGAATTTATATAGAAAATATATACTTTTAACAATCCTCCCCCAACCCCCGGAAATTTTAGTCCGGCCCCCAAAAATTTCAAGTGCCCCCCCCCCCCCCCCCGAAGAAAAAAACAGAGGCTGCAGTTTTGCAGTATATATATATATATATATATATATATATATATATATATATATATATATATATATATATATATATATATATATATGTACGGGGGTTGGTGCAAATTGAAAGTTTGAGACAATATCTTATTAAGTTTCACTACCATTGTTAGGTCAAAGATGAGCCCATGTTGTACCAAGATGTAGCCAATCATATTGGTAACTAATGTTTAGCCAATATTGGGCCATTATCTATTATACTACTAAAACTCAAGTTTGTTTACATGTTTGAATATTTATTTGTTTGTTTGTCTGATTTGGTACTGTAAGGAAACTGCTCTATATTGGGGGCTGTAAAATAGTATGTAGGTAGAGAATAATTTTTGATTGCAGACAGACTGTTAATCACACATTTATTTAAAGACGTTAATTAATTTATTGATTTATTCATAGGTAGATTACCCACATTAATTTTAAAGTTTTAGAACAATGGCTAAACTTTGACTGTATAGTGACGTTTGATAACTCACTTTTTTGTTTGTTTGTTTTTCTGATTTGTTATTGGGGAGAATCTGCATTATGTGTAGAGCTGTAAAATAGGTTTTGGGTGGTAAATATTGTTCTCTCTTAAACACACTGTTAATTACAAACTAATGTAAAGCCGTTAATTAATGTATTGATATATTCATTGGTAGATTAACCACATTAATTATAAAAGTTTAGCACAATAAATTTTGCAATAGTAAAAAGATTTATTATTTTTTTACAACAATGTTTTCAATTATTTTTTTCTTAAGGCCTACATGTGGATGATAAGGTTGAATATAAACTATAAGGACCTCGCGGGGCACAGGGCAGGTGAAGTAGAGTTCACCTGTTTCTATGTTCTCAGCATATGAAGGGATAGTGTGTTCAGAGCCATGCTCGGCCGGAATCGTTTTTTTTTTTAAAAAAATTTCAAACATGTCTGAGACTTGGCGGGACACTGGGCAGGTGAAGTAGAGTTTAGAAGAGTTTTTAAAAATATAAAAAACGTCTTTTTGAATGTGGGATCTGGTTATTTTGGGATGATAAGTGCTGACAGACGTGGTGTCATTTATGGATGACCCCCGAAACCCACAGTTATCTAACTAGATAACGGGTAGTCTAGTATAATATATATATGTGCTGAATGAGAACTAGTATTGATAAAAGGGTTCCATTGGCAGGTGTCATATTAAATTAGGCCGTTTCGCCGGGAGACAATCTCTACGGGAAACGAATTGACAGGGTTTCTTTTGTCGGGAGTCGTAATGACGTGAGCCTATTTGTCCTGAACCTATATTACTATATGACGGGGTCCATGTGTCGATTTGTCGAGGTCGTTTTAGTGCATAATTATGTAAAGGTTTGTTCTTTAAATGTTATTATGCATTTTTTTTTTGTAGGTCTAGGTCTCTAGACTTTAGATCTACATCTTATTTCTTTATACCCATTAGTAGCCCATTAGACATCGGTATTAACAAAACTCTGCTCTTTCAATAGGTTATCGCATGACTGCCATGTTTTAATACAAAATAATTAATTAGGCCCTACCATCATGCGAATAATTAATATAATTTCAAGGGAAACTACTAGATTTATTTTTAAAAAGATGGTTGCTGTAGTCAGTAGTGTATTTGTTTACCAGTCCGGTTTTTGTTTATAGGTACACCATATTTTAAAGAAGTGAGTAAACCGACCTAGAGGATCTAGATCTAGATAAGTAAGAAGAGAGGCTAAGAACTTAAAAGTTAAGAAGGTATCAGCAGTAAGGTAAGAGTAAAACAGAGTAAGAGTTGATGTGAAGAATAAGACCTTAATAAAAAATAATTAGGCCCCTACGGCCTACGGTAATCTATCGTTTTGGGTACGTAAAATCGTCCGCGACTAGTAATGTGAAAAACAGGTGACTCCTTAAATTTTTATAATTATTTCACATTTTGAGGAGGATTTATGTTTTTTAAAATACAAAAATGTTTCCTTGTTTCATTTATGTACCTGTTTTTAAACAATTGAATTAAAACTTTTCAGTAATAAATGAATACTAGTGATGTTTCCAACAGATGCAACCATGCTCGTTTACTATAGCAGCCATCTTGTTTACGTTTTATTTTTATAAGATTCAGGGGGAAGCCACTCTATTTTACAAATGGCTGCTGTTTATATAGCAAATCTTGCTCGCAGACACTGCTGTTTAAAGTTAATTTCTGGCCTATATTGATATATTTAGCCATTGATTTAGGTTTAATATTCATTTATCTATAATATTTGACACAAAAATATTACAATATACTTCTTTTAAAGCCTTGACAATGAGGTAACATTTTCGTACACTAATAGCCGCTGGCGATTTTACGTACCTAAAGCGATAGATTACCGTGCTGGTTTATACAATACGAGCCGACCCGCTGCGTATCATACGCTGCTATTTAGTTGTATTTTTTTCTACTTTTCAGTAATTTATAATTTGTGAATTCGACAGTACCAATGCTGCCACTGAAAATATTTGCTTAAAAACACTAAACCCCCCTCTCCCACCCACGTGAAAGCAGCCTCCTCTTAGTTACCTCCTCTAAGTTTAAAATCGTTTCAAACTAAATTATCTGCCCCTAATAGCCGTCACCGAACCCGTCTCTATGATTGTAAAATGTAAATAGCCTGAATCACAGCTCACCAGACCATTTGGGGGGTGGGGGGTGGTAGCGATAGAGAAGAAGAGAGGGGACTGTAATGCGCGCTTGCAGCTTGTTTTCTAACGGCTCCCAGAAGAGAATTATATATATAGATATTAATATTATGATTATTATGATAAACTTTTTTATCTTAATACTATATACTTTGTAACTTATTCACTAAATATTAGGCCTAAATCAAAGCTAATAGTCATGTCTATTATTAGAAGTAATAAGTGTTAGACTGTAGACTAGTGTAGACCTAAACTTACTACTAGATCTACTACACACAGTCAAAATTTTTCTCAAAGAGATGCCTGGAAGAAACTCTGCACACAGTTAGCAGTGCTAGAACTAGAGTTTGACCTACCACTCAAGTAAAATTCATCATAGTTTAAAAATTTTTTCTTGTTCATGCCCAAAACACATGGGGCAGATGATAGAGAGTTCATTTGTTTCAATGATCTCAATCTCAGCATAGTATGGTCAGCACTATGCCCAGTGGCCTTTTGTTTTTGTAACATAAATCAGGTGCCCATCAGAGCTTGGTGGACTCATGGACATCCTCCAGACTCTAGTCCTAGAGACTTTTGGGTTATCAGTCATAAGCTCTACCATTCAACCATGCTGTAAACTAAAGTAACATCAGGAAGTCAATAAGTAGGACCTGCTAAATTACTTAACTAATAACTTACTTGATAAGTCTGCCAAAAGATTCAGTAAGAGTACCAAAAATTTAGATCTAGTAGTCAGTAAGAATCAGATGTTAGACAAACAATGCTATGTTTATTGAAGTTGAAGGAGAGGGGGATCAGAATTGTGTGACAAGGGGGTTCCAAAAGCATGAAGATACTTTTGCATTCAAAAAGATAATGTCAGAAACTTAATTTTAGCTTTTTTTTTAATGGCTGTTTTTGTAAATTGTAATTAAAAGTGATCAATATAGCCTACTCAAAGTTTACTGAGGTCAGAAATTATATTAGAAAGAATCAATGCTTCAAAAAACAAAAGCAGTAATTTATTGGTGGTTTGTAGGCTGAGCTATAACCTTATTTATCTGGCTTTTTGGAATGATATATGATGGTGAGGATGGGGGAGGGAAACAATGGTCCAATAAGTCTGATATCGTTTTACTAGCTTAATTATTCTTAATATTTTATTATTATCTTTCCCAGTTTGTGCCATGGGGCAGATGAAGTAGAGTTTTGATATTAATATTTACTTGTACTTATTACTTGTCTGGTCTACATAAGCTTTAGGGGTATTTCTCAATCAAACCCTTTGATTCCCAGATCTAGTCTTACCATTTTTCATTGCCTACCTCTTTTTTCTTTGTTAGCCTACTTATTTTATTATATGCCTGACACTATCTCTTTGTTGGTCATCCATAAATTTTGGAGTTACATACTGAGGAGGAATGGGATGTGTTTCAGACTTTTGTGATGATGGACAGAGGCAAGCGACCCTTCCCGGCGCCCAGGGACGAACTTTCGATTTGCACCCCCCTCGAACTTTTGGTTTGCATCCCCCAAACTTTCAATTTGGCGCCTCCCCTATGGTCTTAGCTCGTGGACATATGTCGATACACGGGTGACCAACCAGGACCAGACTGGACGGGTGCTAGCGTCTAGCTAGTAATCTCCCCTTCTGTTATTGAATATAGTTATCTATCAAGTGATTTAGCTTTGAAACCGTTTAATTAATTTTTAATGACTGATCAAACATCTAATTAAATTGAAAAATAGATAAACTGGTATTGTCATCTAAGTGGAATGTAGCTGGAAAGTTTTAACGACATTGCTCCCATAGAATTGGGTAAAAATTGAGTTACAAGATTTGCCAAAAACCCGCAAACAATCAGATGTTACGAACTAAATAAAAGCTTGTAAAAATAAATTCTAACACACTTTGATCAATATACTCAGTGTTAATGAGCTCAATACTTATTTAGAAAGAATTCACTCCTTTATTAGCAAAAATTGAAATTTTTGTGCCTTATAAGAAAGTATTTGATAGCCCTAATAGCTTTGTGAGATGTCCATTTTATTTTAGTTTTTGTTTATTAATTATTCCCAGTCAGTCATTATGATAACCATAATCTCCCCTTTTGATTCTGTCATATACTGCATCACTTGAAATGCAGTCTTTGTGTAATTTTCCAAAGACTTCATATCAGATGATGCAGTACTTACATTTTTTATTTTAATGATCAGTTATTAGACAAGTTGGTAGTTTTATATAAATGTGCAAAATTTCAGTTTATTAATACAAGGTTTTTAAAAATAAAAGTTAAGGATATCATTACTTCTACTAATTGTATGATATGAAAAGATTAATGATTAGAAAATGTTGTTGGTCAAAATAGTAAAAATATTTAAAAAACTTCATATACTGTTTACTCCTTTTGTAAAATTATTTCATTTTTATCTAATTTCATTTTTATGGAGTTAAAATTGAGAAAATGAACTGTTGTTCATTTAAAGAACAAGACTTTTACAGGACACTTGTTAATTTATTTGGTTTTTTTTTTTGCAGAAGTAGTAAGATGGTGTGCAAAAATATAAAGCATGTTGATGAAGACTCAAAAAAGGGCAAAAACAACAAAACTGACAATGAAGTCCTAAAATTTCTTCCAAAAAAATCTGAAGACAAGTGGGAGAATCTTTTAGGATTTCAAAAAGAAAGTTTGTCTTCTTGGAATGATTTTGTAAAGCTTCTCTGCAGACCATCTGATCCCGCTTGTCTTGGCACTATAAGGTTTCTTTTTGGTAAAGTGGTATACATTTTTATTGTTGTTAAAATAGAAAAGAACAAATCACTTTTTATCCTGCCATGTTGTCTGTTATTTTTATAACATCAAGTGGAACAAATATGTAATTTGAGAAATTGTTTTAATGATAAATAATGATATATAATGTCTTTCTATTTCTAGTAGCTTTTATACTGGAATAAATTTTTAAATTTTGGTATTTTTGGTATTTGTTTTACCAAAGGTTTAATATTGTATTGGATTTCTAATTTAAGTTGCATTCTTTACCTAAAAACCTTATCTAATGGTAACATCTTAAAAACAAATGAAACAAAAAGTTAAATTTTTAAAATAATGTTGCTTTGATTAGAAGCTGAAAGTAAACATGGCAGGACCGAGTTACTGATCCAGAGTACTTTAATATTTAACTTATAAAATTCTTTTTCAGGATTTCTGATGATTATTGACACTTTACAAGAACGTGGTATGAGTGTTGTTGACAAAGTATGGGCATCTAAAGAAATCTGCAGATTTCCATTATTCAGCTTCATCCAGCCTCTACCATTAGAATGGATGTGTGTTATTTACATCATAATGTTATCTGGTAAATTTATTTAAATAAGGCTTCAGTTTTGTGGTTAATTGGCAAAATACAAACTGATGAAAATCATGGCAATTTTTTTTACATGTGAATTCATGTCAATTTACTGGATTTATTTTTAACCTTCCAAAAAGAGAACCAAAAACCCATTTTAAATTGTAAATTGTATCCTTTGGTTAAGCTTCAATCTTTATATCAATATTTCCTTGAAATTTCTATGTTTTACTTAGATATTTTAAAAATACAGTAAAAAATTGGCTATGGTCTGTGTTTCTGGCATTTTTAAGACAAAGAAACAGTCAAGCCCCACCTCATCTGCCCTTTGGATTCTCAAAGTCAATGAAAAACCATTCATTTATTTTTGGGTTTCTCAATGCCTTGCTGCTTTGTTGTTTTTTGTAAGCCCAAAAAGTGGGTAGTTCTTAATTGCATGCAACAACAGACAAAAATACGTAAGGCGCTTATATTCTTATGTAGGCTTTTGAGGAAATATATACTGTATATAATCTCGCACTGTGGAGAGGAAATAAGAGCAAGGTTTATTTCCTGTATCATATTAAAATGTCTGAGTTAAAAAAAAAATAGTACTTGAGGGTGCTTATTTCCTTAATCTCTAACATTTCTTAATATCTTTTTTAATTAAAATCATGAATACTATTTTCTTAGACTAACCCTAAAACCATAACCCTAATAACCCCTACCAGTACACTAACAAAGTGTAATGAGTAAGAATTATATTATTAATGCCATTTACGCTATAAAAAAAAAAACTTAGTTCTAATTGGTTTACAAAACTTTTAAAAATTTAGATCTAGATCAGTGTTTCTTAACCTGGGTTCGACAAAACCCCAAGGGTTTAGTGAGTCAAGCTTTTATTTAACTTGCTTCCTCGTCCAGTCTGTTGTCAGTCAGTCTAGATCGAGACGCCCGAGCAAAATTTTGGGCACTTATAACTGACAGATTAGTTTCAAAGTTGTCACTTGGGTCAAGACATGAAATCAATGCAATCTGACATTAAATTTGACTTAATTGGATGTAGACAGCCTTATCTAACTATTGCGCACTATTATACGCGCGTTATCACGTTCATTAGGTGCCCAATAGTTTTTAGTCATGCAACTCTATTGTAAATAAAAGAATTTAAAGTACTGGAAAAAATTCATAAAAAACAATTTAATAACAATCTTTTATGTTATAAAATGCACTAAAAAGTAGAAAATAAACGACACACTACTATTCAAATAGCTATAAAGAAGAGCGTAAAAATTATTTGTTATTAAAACGTTTTTTATGAATTTTTTTAGGAACTTTTTTTTTTTATAGAATATGTGTCTTATATCTGCTATGTGCAATTAGTAAAGGAAGAACCATGGATTTTATAAAATGCATATTTATGATACAGAAAAAAAATTACTATTGCTTAAAGAGTAAACAGAAAAATCCCTTTTGTACTTTTCAAGCCATTCTATAAAATACAAAAATATAGGAAAACTAATTTCATTTACAGCGTTTACCTAGCTTTATCCTTAAACATATCTATCACTATCCCTATTTAACCCTATACCTAACACTTTCATCAACCATAGCCCTATCCATATCTATGCATTTCCCTTTCATAGTTCTTTTCCCTCCCTATTCCCAAATCTATTAAATTCCTACCTTATCTCTAGCCTTACTATCCCTACTTTCACTTCTATTCCTATTATACCTTTCACTTTCACTATTATTATCCCTATCCCAAGTGTTCTGTTTTTTGAGGGAGTAGCCCATTTTAAAGTAAAATTTTACATATATTTCAGGCGCATTGGGAATCATGCTGGGCTTCTTCTTCAGATACAGTTGTGCAATGTACTTAATATCATATTGGTACATTTTTTTTCTGGACAAAACTTCATGGAATAACCATTCTTATCTCTTTGGGATTATGGCTTTTCTTTTTGCTGTTTCGGATGCAGATAGATACTGGTAAGCAATTTAGATTCCATTTTAAAAGTTTTTTTGATATGTATGTTTTATTAGTGTTACGGATGTAAAATTTGCCTGATTAAAGGTAATTTAAAAAGATATTATTAATTTTTAAAGTAAGTAGGCCTATCCATTAAATTTATAATTTATTTGTGTGGTGAAGGTTAAAAATACATTTCATTTAATTTTGTAAATTTTCATAAAAAAAGGTCGGTTGACGGTTTTCTAAATCCGAAGATACATAATGCACATATTCCTTTGTGGAACTACACACTTTTGCGAGCACAGGTAATGATTTTTTTTAGTGTTGAGAAAATTATTTGTTATCAAACATTTTTATTTGTAGCTAAAATCCTAAGAAACATATTGCAGAGATGAGTATTGAGTGTATACTATAAACCTACTTCGTACCTGTTATGACGTGTGTTTGACAAGGCATGTTGGTGCAAAGAATTTTTGGTGCGAAAGATATAATGAACACATGAAGATGCGACGCATTACATAAGAATGTGACGTTTTAGTGTAGGATCGTTGTTGCCGGGGAAGTAGCTTAAAGTAGTCTTGCTCTTGTTGTCTTAGGGTGAGGTCGTGTATGTTGTCAAGTCTCAGTATCGTTTGTTCAAGTCGTCGTATGTATTATTATGGTGCAAATCGTGAAGTTTAATAATATCATCCTGTCAATGAGTGTCAAGTCATTTGTCAACGTTGATGTCGTACTTGTCATAACTCTATGATGAATACTGAACTGGTTAGAGAGGAACTTGATGGTAGTATAAACCCTCTCACTGCATAGCTCCGGGATACATGGAGTCTAGTCCTCAGGTATAATAGTACTTATTTGCTTCCTAAAGGAGTATGGCTTTTCCCTATTTCATTTTCATGAACATATTGAAAATCATATTTACTTTATTGCTTTTGCTTTGATTCTTATTATTTTAGAAAAATGATACATGATTATGTATCTTTAATTCTTTTCATATTGTATCAATTTTGATACAAAGTCAAATAATCCCAATGAATCTACACAAATGTTAAAATATGAGTTTTTAATATGTCATACTCTAGCTCAGGGGTCTCCAAACTTTTCAGCCCGAGGGCCGCATTGACTATCAGATAGCAGTTCGGGGGCCGAGAACACACTTGAGGTCCAAAAAAAAAGAAATCAGTAACGGTGTAATAATACATTGATGAACTACACATGGAAACCTGTATTAGTGAGAAAGGTGAAACTGTTTCCTGGATGCCAGAATAGCAGACATTTCAGGCTTCATATTTGAAGTTCCCAACATCAACAGTGACCTGAGGTTACCATCGGACAAGTTTGTTCTCAAATTGTTCTTCACGTATTTCATTCTTGAAAATGTTTGTTCACACAGGTACGTTGTTCCAAAGATAGAAAGGTACCTGGATGCAAAATTTTTGACATTAGGAAAGTCTTCCTTGGGTAAAAACTTGTAAAAAGCAGCCAGTCCTTCTTTAAACTTGTCCTTAAGGAGGTCATTTGCTTGCAATTCAATGATTTCCATCTGCAGTTCATCTGGGCACCTGGCCACATCTGCCTCAAAAGGGTTTTGAAAAAGTCTCACTTCTTCTGCCTTTGAATCTAAATCAGAAAACCGCTGCTGAAACGGCAGATGGAGGTCTTTGATGATCTCGCATGCAAATGACGTGGGGAATTTAGCTGTTGCTTCAGCCATGAAGTCCTTGCACTGCTGAAAGTGCGTCAAGTTGTTGGCCTGTACGTGTTCCAAAAACAAGACAAGTTTAGATCTGAAAGCCTTTATGTGGGTGTATAAATCAGAAACTACATTTTCTTTCCCTTGTAATTTTAGGTTCAGAAAATTTAAATGATTAGTTATGTCTGCAGCAAAGGCCAATTTCCATACCCACTCTTTATCAGACAATAATGGCTGTGGCTTGCCTTTACTTTCCAGGAAGTAACCTATTTCCTTTCTTAACTTTAATACTCTGCTAAGAGCTTTCTCACAACTTAGCCATCTTATTGCTGTGTAATATGGTAAATCTTGCGATACTGTGTCTGTTTCTTTCAACGTGTCTCTGAACTGTCTATGGTTGAGGCCATGTGACCTTATCAAATTCACCATCTTCACCACAGGATTCAGTACACTGCTAATGTCCATATATTTAGCACACAAAGCTTGCTAGTGAATAATACAGTGCAGGAACATTGGTTGTTGAATGTTTTTCTGATTACACATCTGCTCGCTTGTCCAACCAAGCCTTTCTTTATGCCACTCATGTTCTTTCCTCCATCCACAGTAAGGCAACTGAGATTAGTCCAGTCCAAGTTATAATCAGCAAATGTTTTTTTCAACTCATTGAATATATCCTCTCCGGTAACAGTGTCATACATGCTATGTAGAGAAGCCAGCTCTTGTGTTTTGTTCATGTCTTCATTCACACCTCTAATGAACAGAAGAAGTTGAGAGGTGGAACAGCTGTCCAGCGATTCATCCATTGCAATTGAAAAATGGCGAAACTTGCTTGCATGTTTCGTTATTTGAGTCACAATGTTTTCACCCATGTCTGCAACACGGCGGGCGATTGTATTTGCACCCAAAGCTACATTTTCAAATTGTTTTGACTTGTCTGGGCAAAGTTCCTCAGCCACCTTCATCAAACATTCCTTCACTACTTCACCATCTGTAAACGGTTTGCCACTTTTAGCCAGGACATAGGCAACATTATAACTGGCCTTTGTTAAGGCTTCATTTTCATTTGAGGATTTATTGATCAACGTCCTCTGAGATGCGAGTTGATTTTTTAATTTAGAATATGTTTTGGCACGGACTTTGCCCTCCAACTGTGCATTTTTACCCTGATGTTTGCTTTGATGATGACGGCGCAGGTTGTATTCTTTCATCACAGCCACGGTTTCATTGCAAATCAGACACAGTGCTTAATCTCCGGATTTTATGAAGAAGTATTTCAAATTCCATTCTTCTTGAAATTGCCGACACTCATCGTCTATTTTCCTTTTCTTCTTCTCGGCCATCGATGAGAGCTAAAAATAAATGAATTCAACATGAAAAAAATAGTGAAACACGATATCGCTTAAAAAAAAAACCACCTGATTATGCGATGCCCAAAGATGCTGTAGGCCTCAGTTTACGCTGATTACCCCTTGGTTACGACCTAGCTAGGTGTAAGAGGCGTCGTGGGGCCTAACATGAAACCTTTGCAGGGCTGTACTCAAACGCTTCCGAAATTTTCATGGCGATCGGATGAAAGATGTCGTAATGCGTAATAATTACAAAAACGTTTTTTTTATATGTGTCAGCTCATGCGTTGGATAACCTCCTGATTTAGGGGACATCCACAACATGTCACTTTTTTTAAACAACTCACAAAAAGCCTGAACCTAGCCCCTAAATGACGTCATTTGGTAACAGTAAATGACTATAAATAAATGGTGTCCAATTTATTTATTTACTAATGGTTAACCTTTTCTAAACAATATAAAAATTATCCTACCTTGTTTGTTCTGTGAATCAGATGCACCAAATACTATGCAAGTAAAAATTTGTCTGCTGACCAGTGCTTGCTAGTGTCTGACAAAATTTGAAGTGGCGAATGCGCGGTTAGAAAGTTGACAAACGATACATTTATCTCTATTCGATACTTGCTATACTAGAAAGAGGGGTGGAATGGGGGTCGGCTCGGGAAAAAAACATGAAAAAGACAACAAAGCGCCGATGTACGTCAGAAGTTTGGGATGGTACTTTTCCAAAAGTCAATTATAAAACTTTCTCAGGGGAGATAATTCAAAGTATAGGCACTACAAGCTTACTATGACATTTCTTGTAAAAGTAAAAACAAGTAAACGTGTGTAAAACCTAAATTTCTAGTATTATATTTTTTTTTGATAATTTGTAGGATACAGAATAGTACAGGATAGAAGAAGCTATACGAAAATCACAAACACATATTTTACATTGAAAATGTACAACGGACTTCGGGCCCCTAACCAATGCCACAAAGAAGGAACGTACATCATGAAAGCCCAGTATATTTCTAGCGGCTTCTCGAGCTAGAGACTTTTTTTTTTTTTCAAAGAATTGTGCCGACGACAGCGTGGTTTATTTTAGAAGTAAGAGAGCTCGGATGAAAGCCCACTACATATCTAGCGGCTTGTCGAGCTAAAGTTTTTTTTTTAAAAGAATTATGCCGACGTCAGTGTGTTTGATTGTAGGTTTTTTTCCTACCTAAACAATAAAAAAAACTGGTTTCGGCAGATATGCTTGGGTTTTTATTGCTGAGGACGGCAAAACAAAAAAAAGGTCCGTAATTTTTTCCGCAGCTAAAAAGATGTCCGCGGGCCGGATAAAACAGCCTCGCGGGCCGCATCCGGCCCGCGGGCCGTAGTTTGGAGACCCCCTGCTCTAGCTTGATCACCTTTGACCCAAAGTCATACCCGAAACAGACTATAGGTGTGTTACGTTTCACACAATGTGCATTTGATTCCGTTTTTTTACACTGGTCGGACAGCTGTGATCAAGATGTTATTAGAGAAAATAATAAAAATTCACAGGCTGTATTTTTATTCTGGAAAAAAATATTTATCAATCTCAGGTGAGTAACTTTACCTAAAAATAAGTTATTTATATACTATTTTTTTATATTTGTGCTGATAATATCCAATTACGGTATGTAGCAATTTTCATACACCATACAACAGTATAACCATGACATTAGCTGGGACTTTTCAGTAGTATAATATTAATAATATGTTGATTGAACAATTCCTAACGTCTAGTAGATAGACTCTAGTCATCTGTTGGTTTTTACACTTGCTTAGTTTTGTTTTTCTTTCATATTTTTATAACAATAACATGTAAATTACAGAAGAAAAATAGTGTCAAAATCTGTAAAAACAGTAATATGGTCAAGCAATAGGCTATTATAATTATATAGGGTAAAGGAGGGCGTTAAGAGCCGTGTGGTATTAAGCCCCAATCAACACCCCACCCCCACAAAACCCCCAATAACACTGCTAATCTACTTCTGAGGTAACAACCACTGCTGTTCTTTGATGACAGAGAAACAGAGGATTCATTTTATGTCATTTATGACCCACTTGGTCCAATAGGGAGAGGATGAGACAGGATTTAATCCCACTGCTCTTTCCCTAAAATTTCTCATCTCCATAAAACCATTTTGTGAACTTTTTTTCCAAATAGACATAACTTGGGAAACTTCACTTTGTAATAAACCAAATGAGTTTTTCAAGCCCATTCTTTGTTCCAGTATTAGAGCATTGGTTGTTGTATATTTTAACACTATTTTTATAGCTATGGCTAGAATAGTTTTATTTTGGTGAATTTTTTTTGCACAGTGATTATTGGTGCCAAAACAAAATGGCCGACATTTGTCCCATTTTACCATGCTATAAAGTTTTTATCATTATCACAGTAAAACTTGACTGATCATTACCATAATGGTTTTATTTGTTAGATAATAACTAAATCTACATGAAAACATTAATTTTGTTCACTAGCTTGCCTGTTTAGAAAAGTTATAACAGATACTGTTATGTGGCTCTTGAAACCCTATGTGCAAGTTTTTCATTTATTAGACCACTGAATATGACACTGGTATAGGAATAGTTAACACAAAATGTATTAATTGTTAAACAGACTTGTGTCTAAATGATATAAATACAATTCTAACCTGCTAAAAAGTAAAAATTCAGCCATCTGATGTTAGCAAGGTAATTTTTTAAATGGTACTTGTACTTATTACCCCTAAGGGGCAATACAGCCGACTCAGCCCCCACCTGTTTCTAACCAACCATAAAACTTCTAATCTCTTTGTAGGTAACAGGAATAAATGTTCTTAGGTCTCAGCCAATCTGGGGTGGTATGTTATGTAATTTATAACCCTCATGGTCCAGCAGGGAAGTAAACAGACACATTAATACCACTGCTCCCCCCTTACAATTTCTTACCCCCATGATACCAAGCCCCCACCAGTTTCTGGCCCACCATAAAACTTCATCTCTTTGTAGGTAACATGGATTACAGTTACAGATCTCAGACAATCTGGGGTGGCATGTTATGTAATATATGACCTTCATGGTCTAGCAGGGTGGAGACCAAAGAGGAATCAGTACCACTGCTCTCCCCTCACAATTTCTCACCTCCATGATAGCCAGACCCCCACCTGTATCTAACCCACCATAAAACTTCATCTCTTTGTAGGTAACATGGACTAAGTTCTTAGATCTCAGCCAACCAGAGATAGCATCTCCTTATGTAATTTATGGCCCTCAGGGTCCAGCAAGGAGAAAAAAAGGGGAAACCAGTACCACTGCTCTCCCCTCACAATTTCTCACCCCCATGATACCCAGCCCCCACCTGCATCTAACCCACCATAAAACTTATCTCTTTGTAGGTAGCATGGACTTAGTTCTTAGATCTCAGCCAACCAGAGATAGCATCTCATTATGTAATTTATGGCCCTCAGGGTCCAGCAAGGAGAACAAAGGGGAAACCAGTACCAATGCTCTCCCCTCAACATTTCTCACCTCCATGTCATGTTATGTAATGTATAGCACACATGGCTTATCAGGGGAAAGCATTAAGGCAGATTAGTTAGTACCACACCTTTTTACATACAAGAATGTTAGCTCTGGACAGCTACACACTAGTATACTAGCTACACACTAGGCATACTAATGTGCCTACTGTAAACTACTAGACTGTAGGCCCTATTTAGTATGTACACCTGCAATTGTATCAATTGTAGACTGGGCCCATTGGGGCCTAGTGATAGCTAGTATCAGTTAAAGTGTGTGTACACAGCATTAACTATTTTGGGGTTAGAAATTAATTATTTTTATTGCGGAGTTAGTCTAAACTAGGAGATAATACTTATTGCCCCATTGCCCGGCTCCTTTCACCCCAAATGCTGATTTCGGGGGTATGACAATAAATGTTCAATTAAACCCATTTAAAGTATATTTAATAGACTTTGTTATTATTTTTATATTGTGTAAGATATGTTAGAATAATTTTGCCATATTTTCAATACTAAAAAATTCTTAGATTAGTAGAAATCTTTAAAAATGTACAGGTGCTAAAAAGTGTGGCTCTTAACGCCCTCCTTTACCCTACTAATTTTTCTTAGATTTAGCACTTACTCAGTACTATATACATACAGATGATCAATGAGCTACTATAATAAGCCTATAATAAAGGGTGTATAGTGTAGTGCTACTATTGAAGAAAAAAAAAGTATCATAATGTAAAACAATAATAATATAGTTTTAGAGACTGATATTTACCAGCTGCTGCTTAGAATAACTTGCATATGAATTCTCTGGCTACAGGACATTACCCCCTGGATATTCCCCCCCTGGAGCAATTACCCCCCTGTCAATTACCCCCCCCCCGGGAATTACCCCTCCCCCCTCTCAAGTTAAAATCCTAACTCTAACTAGAATTTTATACCTATATACTTCTTTAATCCAAACCTTAAGAATAAGACCAAAACCTAAGCATCCACCTTAGCCTAAAACTTCACAAAACCAAAGCTAGACACAACCCTAACCCTAACACTAACCCTAGCCCTAACCCTAAACCTAACCCTAACTCTAACCCTGTCCGGGGGGGGGGGGGGGTAATGTCCTACTAGGCGGGGGGGGGGGGGGGGTAATTTACAGGGGGGTAATTACTCTGGGGGGGGGGGATCAGGGGGGGTAATTGACAGGGGGGGGGAATTCCCTGTTCCCGAATTCTCTAATCATACTAATTCATACACATAGACAGTGTTTGGGTCAAATAAGCTTAGAAAGTAGTGTAGTAATTATTATTGAAGAAAAATGATAATAATATTAGGCATAGGCCTACATACTTAGTGTACTTATTATTTACTACATACTGGTACACTAACAATATTATTACTATAGGCAGTGGTGGTTTACTTATGTTTATAATATAAATTAAAACTTAATTTATAAATCCATGAAGTTTATGAATGATTAGAGATTGTTTTAGTGCTGACATTGTTTTATTTATTTTCACATGATCTCATTTCGTCTACAGTGTGCGATAAATTTTGTCGCGAAACAGATGGTAGACTTCAAGGAGAATGTAAGTGAAAGTGAAATAGGTGTAATATTTGATTATTTATCTTATGAAGTTACAATTTAATAACTAGGCCAGGGGTCGGCAACCTGCCGCTCGTAAGCCGCATGCGGCTCTTTTGATGTCAAGAGGCGGCTCTCCTGCTTGCACACATATTAATAGTTATATTGTTTTAGTTTCAAAACTCATAACAAAAAATTATACTGTAAAGAAACACAAGTTTAAACAGAAGAAAAAACTCATTAGAGAACAGTGAGAATATGTGCACTAGAAAGTATACGGACAGCCGCTTGAGCACCAGATCAAGCCCCACATACGTGTTGTGGCAAGCCCAGTGGCGACTATTCCATGCTTGCCATTGCCCAAGTGCCGACTTTTTTGTGGGTTGGGGGTATATTGTCCTTAACGAGTTACTGATAGTGTTTTAAAGCAAATATTTTCAGTTGTAGCATAGGTAGTGTCGAATTCACAAATTATGAATTACTGAAAAGTAGAAAATAAAACAACTAAATAGCGGCGTATTGTACGCCGCAGGTCGGCTCATAAAATAATAATCCTCTAGTATATAAAAAGTAGCAGTGATGCATAATTTTTATTTGAATTATAATTTAAGTTGTGCATGTATGAAGATAAAATAAATAAATCTAGAAATAATATATAGTTTGTTTTAGTAGTGAACTTTTTTTTTTACAGGATGAGTAAAGATTCTCACAAAAGAATTCTGTCTGAAATAGAGACTACATATTTCTTTGGTCACTAATGTCTAATTATTCATCTATTGATTTACGTGATGTTGAAGGTGTTACTGTAACTGTAATTGAACACTTAGAAAGTGAATAAAGGGATTGGTTTGGAGCAAGTAAAGCGGTAGACTTTATTCTGATATACATTCATAAGCTCTAGGCCTACATTTATAAGATCTACATTCATAAGATGTAAGCAGATGCTAGTCTAGTAAGTGGGTTAACTAAAACACATGAATGTTCTCTAGTATTTGTGAGGAATATGAAATGACCAACTTAGTTTTTAATGCCAGGTCTTGCTGCTGTTCAAGATTATTTTATTTCACATCATGGATAAAGACTATATAAAGGGTGAACAGATTTTCTAGATCTACATTACACAGAAGAATCCAGAAAAAGCTTGAAGTCGTTGATTTCATTGCACAGGAAAAAGTTCTAATAATGGCCAAATATCAGCTTGGTAGATATATTCAAATTTCTCTCAATATGTGTCATTGAAAACCACTGCATTTAAAACAGTAACAATTTAAAGTTTTACTAGATAGAGGTCCAGTTGAGCAAATTGAGGTTGCTTATTGACTGACACAATAAAAAAGATGCATGATTTCTAAGAAATATTACATAACTAATAACAGCAACATAGTGCAAAAAATGTAAATTGCTATCTTGTAAATGAATTTCTGATGCTCCAAATTCGGGATAAATGTTTTACTCAATTCAATAATTACTCAATAAATTTCCAATGATAAATAATTAATCTTTTTTTTTTATTTTAAAGTATTTTTATTGACCGTTGCATACCCTAGCAAAATTGCTACATACTGTTATTTTGCAAAATAAACATTATTTGAAAAAAATAATTCAATTTCATCATTATTTATGCTCTCTGCACACCACAGCCCACCTTGTAAGATTTTTTTTTCTCAAAAAGCTTTCACGAAATGAATTCATGCAATGAAGGGTTAAAAGTAATATCCCATTCTTATTTTCAAATGAACTATAATTTTTAGAAAAATTTTCTATTATAAAAGAAAACTTTTGTTTGTATTTGAATGAGAGACATTTTGTTCTAAATTTTAAACTTGTAGATTCTATTTCTTATCAGATATTTTTAGTATACTTTATTGCTGGATTGAAAAAACTTGACCCAGACTGGGTTTTTGGGTACTCAATGGATTCTCTTTCAAAGCACTGGATTTTTTCTCCTTTCACGTATGTAATTTTTAATAATAAACAAACTATATACACTTTTAAAATTTACTTTGTCATATTGTGATGTGTTGTTATTGGATGTAATTATCATTGTGCGGGGATCCGGACAAAAGGCCGACATGGACAAAAGGCCGACAAGACAAAATGCCGACAAGACAAAAGGCCGACAAGTTTTATAAAACTTAGGTCTCGTCAAACCACTTCACCAACTCAGCTGTGTTTGGTGGGAAAATGTTTTTTAATTCATTGAATGCTGCCGGAATCTCTGCACTTGGAAGAAATGCCAGTGCTCCTATTTGCCGCATCAGCAGGCAGAACTGTGGATCCTGACCATAAAGAAGTGCCAAGCCCAACGCTTGTAGCTTTCGCCATAAATTTTGGCTAAAATGAAAAAAAAGCACCCTTTACTTGTAGCTGCTGGGAATTCAATGCAAGCATTGATTCCAGCTTTCTCAAAGTCAGTGACAATAAACCGTGGAGATAAGTTTATGTGCTATTTTTCAGCGATATCTGCGAAGTCCTGGAATGCTCGTTTATACATAGCCTCGGTTTTTCGAGATATCAAAATGTAGGCAAGCGGTAAAAACTGCAGTTTTCGTAACCTACAGGGGCATGAATGGAGTAGATTTGTAGGAAAATATTAGGAGCATATTTTGTGTTTATACAACATGTAGGCATACTTGTATTTTGTTTATTAATATCAAATGTAGTGTTTCTTTTTAACAAAAAAAAAAAAAGCAAAATTTTGGCACACTTGTATCACAACCACAACAGAATTAATGAATCCAACGGTTATAGTATACACTTTTTTCACGCAATTCGCAATGGACGAAATTAAAATATAATTCAAAGTTTGTCGGTATTTAACATGTAGTCCAGTCAAGGCACTTGATCGGTCTACTTCATTAGGGTTCTTTGATTTCTTGGCGAAATATGGTGGTAACACCACCTTTCAGATTATCCTTTGTACAATCCCGTCATCCCTAGTCGCATGGACCCACATTGTTCCCCTTTTAAGGATCGCAACTATCATTGTCTCTTGGCGTTCCACCTTGTTGCATGTGGGCGATGATGCGACGGCTTTTGACTAGGTTCTTTGATGATTGTCTCACCTCGTTGACATAGAAGTAGCAATAAAAGACAGCAGTGACGGGATTTCGCAATCTTTAGGTGTTGATCCTTTGTGTTTAAGACAATCCCGTAATCTTCAGTCGCTTGGACCCGATGGTTCACCTTATAAGGATAGCAACTAGCATCGTCTCCTCTCTTGAACGTTTCACCTTAATTCATGCCTTATTTCGATGGTTTTCAAGATAGCAGCTATGCAGTAACATATATTTTGCGATATTAGTATTTTTTACGCTTGTCGGACTTATGGCTGTTGGCCTTATGTCCTGTCGGCCTTATGTGCGTGTCGGCCTTTTGGATGTCGGCCTTTTGTCCTACACCCTATATATATATATATATATATATATATATATATATATAACGGCCTTTTGTCCTACACCCTATATATATATATATATATATATATATATATATATATATAATCCTAATATATAAAAGACTAAAAGAACATGTGCGCACTTCTCTCTCTCTCTCTCTCTCTCTCTCTCTCTCTCTCTCTCTCTCTCTCTGTCCATAACATATTTTCGCCGGATATTACGTCAGAATCTTCAGCGATATATGGAGAACTTGATACGAACTTTTGTTGAAAATAATATGGTAGGTGTTTTAAATGTATAACCACAATTTTACTTAAAGAAGAAAAATAAAGGCATATTCGAATGTAGAAAAACAGTTTAAATTATGCAACAGGAAAAGCGTTTATAGTTGTGAAAAGGAACGCATAAAACAGTGACGTAATACATAAACTAATGACGTTATCTGCCGTATTTAGAATAAAAAGAAATGAACTATTTCATTCAAATTTGATTTAGATCTACGTACGCTATGAAATGTAAACAATAAAAATTTTCCGGCCTAAACTATCTACTCTAGAATCTATTCCAAACATGAAATTATCTTTTAAACTATTTCAGGCCTTAATTGTTTTATAGAAATCTTTGTTTGTTTAGCTATGGAACTGGCTAATTTGGGTTACAAAAATTAATTTGAAGGAATAGGCATATTCACGTAAGTTAAGTTTTTTTTAGATACGTCTTTCATTCTCCGTGTTTTATAAGGTGCATAACTAGCTGTGATAGTGTACTTAATACCACGCAGGTGGTGCGCGATCACCAAGTCAAACTTAATTTAAATTTTTTTTTATGTGAATCTACCGATTTTAGACTATAAAGCAAGGAACTACTTCATTCAAATTTGATTTAGATCTAGATCTATTTCTATAGATCTACTCATCAAGACATACGCTATGAAATATATACAATTTTATCGGTCAAACTAATACAAATTACTTAAAAACAACGTAATGACTATTGAATAGCCAGAGTTTTAACGGAATCATTTAAATAAGTCACTTAATCAGTGTGTGCCTGTGTTATGTTAAATGTATCTGATTTTTAGCTAATTAGTTATTATTTTTGCTTTGTCACTAATATCGTTCAGCACATTGCGTTTTGAGCAATAACTATTTCATAAATTATTTTTCTCAAGCAAGTACATTTTAAAATATATAGGCCTATAATTCACGTGAAACGGGAGTAGTATATTAGGTCACTTTTGGACCGCATGGGTGAGCAGGATGCGGATGCGGAACAAAGGATATATAGGAAAATACTCACCCAGCCTGGGACAATGACATATAGCAAAATACTCCCACCACCAGGCGCAGCCTGGGTGAGCCTGGTACAACGAGATATAGTAAAATACTCCCTGGGGGAGGCGGAGGTACACCGACATATAGTAAAATACTCACCCAACTGGGTGAGCAGGCGGCGCAGCCTGGTACAATGAGATATAGTAAAATACTCACCCACCCTAGGGTGGGTGAGCAGGTGGGGGAGTAGGTCAGTAGGTCACAACCGGTGACCTTGTGACGTAATTAGTGACCTAGTTACGTAATTTTAATAAGTTTTTAATTAGTTTTAATGACTTTTTAAAATTTTAATTAATAATTATTAACGAGTTACGTAATTTGAATGTGTTTTTAATTAGTTTTAATGAGTTTTTAAAATTGTAATTAATTTTTTATTGACGAGTTACGTAATTTGATTATTTGTTTACTTTTAAAATTGTTTAATTTGTTTGTTTACTTGTTGTTTAATTTAATTACTTTGTTTATATTGTGTAATTTTTTTAATTTTTTAAATTTTTTTTTTTTTTTTTTTTTTTTTTCTAATTTTTTAAATTTTAAATTTTTATTGAGTAGTTACGTAATTGGATTTTAATTTTTTTAATTTTTACATTTTTTTAAATTTTTAAATTTTGTAATTTTAATTATTTTAATTAGTTTAATTATTAACTTATTTTAATTAGTTTAATTATTATTAACTAGTTACGTAATTGGATTTTAATTTTTTAAATTTTTTAAATTTTTAAATTTTTAAATTTTTTTAAATTTTTAAATTTTTTAAATTATTATTTTTAAATTTTAAATTTGTTTATTTTGTTTACTTTTTTGTTTAATTTGTTTGGTTTAATTCATTTTAATTATTTTCATTTTAATTTTTATATTCTCCAACACAACGACCGTGTACAAAAAACAGGTTAAATTCTCCACCACAACGCTAAAGTATACAAACATAGAACATTCATTAAAGATAACGATCAGCGACAGCTGTTACATATCGATCCGCGATCCTTTGTTTTTGTCAAGCACCGTACAAGGGCGAGCTAATATCGATCGCACCCACGGGGCCATCACACCTAATTAAATTTGGTCATGCATCGTGGATTTATGTGGGGTTCACCGAAGCGAACACAGCAGGGGTCCCGCGTTTAATCGAAAGAGCTAAGTGGTTAACCGCAAAGCCACCGTTAAGTGTGCGAACACCTGTCACCACTTTAATTGATTTTTTCCCCCCGGTTGGGTCCCGTGCTTTTCACTAACAGTTATACGGACAGTATCATAGGTTTTTCATCGAGTAAAGAAATAGTATTGATCGACCCGTGTCTAGTCTATGTACCCATTAACCAACTGAGCAACAGCTGTTGCGCGACCACAGCATAGGATCTGGTAATTAACGCGAAGCCATTAAGGACTTTGGTTGTAACTATTCGCTTATAGCGAGGGTCAGCGAAAACAAAATATATTTAAGGGTTGGAATTTTCTTTCAACCACCGTTAAATCAGGTTTTGAGACGAAACGAAGTCTCGGTAGGTTCGTGTTTTTTAATGGGCGACAGGGCGACGTAGGTATGCGGGGTAGACATGCTTTTTACAAGGCTGGAAAAGTAATTACGTTTTTTTATGACCGTTCCGATTTTCTTTTGATCTGACCACCATTTGACCACCCTGAGCCAGATAAATTTAACAAATGTTCAATACATAGTCGCTTATAGTAACATGGGTGAGGGGTGTAAGCAGGCGGGTGACGGTGTGAACAGGTGATTGAAGGGTGAGCACGTAGGTGAAGGGGTGAGCAGGTCGGTGAAGGGGGACAGGAGTAGGAGTAAAGGATATATAGTAAAAGATTCCACCGCCTAAGTGAGGTGGGTGGGGAGGTGGATTTTAATTTTTTATTTTATTTTTTTCATCATCTGTTAACTTTAAGGTTCTATAACTCTAGATATTTAATTACATTTTTTGATTCAAATGAGTTTACTCCCCCTAACGTAAGTACATGTAAAGACGGATTTCCTATAGTTCTGTAATGAATTAGGCCTTTTTGACTATGACTTGTTGCCCAGGTGTTGACATGATACGCTTTTTTGAGATACACGTACACACGTACTCACTCACACACACACAGACGCGCGCGCGAAATTCATACTAGGTCGGTAAAGGCGGAGAGAACTTATAGGTATACATTATCATGGCGACAACAAAAGCGACCCTTATTTTATTTACATGAAAGCGTGTTTTCCAAAAAGTGTCAC